GCAGAAATAAAAATTATGCGAATGATTATTCTGTTTAACTAAATAAAAATGTAGTATAACGTGAAGCAAATGCAAATCAGCTACCTTTAAACTCTAAAGTATTTGTCACAATCATCTCGAAATGTATTTTTAGAAACCACGATATTATATTGCACTATGTTTGCAAGTAAATAATTTACAAATAACTGTAGTAAAAAGAAATGGCATAATGGTTTTTTACATTGGTGTTATTATTAGTTTTTATATTATTATGTTAGACTATGTAAAATTTTTTCAAATGATATTCGTATAAAATATATTTTAATTAGTAGTATAGGTAGAAGGTACCTATATACGCATCGCAAATAATATTGTAGACCGGTGTGATAATTTGAAATACTTGACGCTATTTAATGGAGTCGGCTTACTCCACTTAAACACACTGCAGTATAGGTTATAAGTACTTAATCTTCAGATTAAATAATATGTACATACCGCTAGTATTATAACTATCAAACGATGACATTAAACGACACGTGTATTAGACAGCCGATACGTCTTTCTCTGCTTGCATAACCATAACCAAATTATAAGTTATCATCAACAGGATTTCAGGAAATGCATTCGCAACACAATTCGTAGGCTTACGGGATTTACGCAGCGGATACCGATACGGTCACTTATACAAATTTATGCTCACGGTGGGTACTGGTTAGCCACATACCACGACGAGGCTTTATTTTGCCAATATAATATTGCCGGCCTAATGGGTGGAAATAAGTGGGTGTGAAACAAAATTAATAAATGTATTTATTCATCTCTGTTCGAATGAATAAAATATTGATATTTGAAATATACAACATTACAACTACTACAACATTTGCAATATAATATGTTTTTTTTAATGAAATCAGAAAAATACAATAGTTAGTAATGATATAATATTATTTGTAGATACTCCTAAAAAGTTGTATGTATATATATATCAACTATAGCGAAAAACGATAGAGGCGTACACCACCCACCCACCAGAATTAAGAAAATCGTAGTTTCCTATGGTGATTAATGACGTTAGGAAAACCACTGTTTTATAATTTAAGGTGGAGATTGATTGTACGATGCTTACAGTACTTACCTACTCATAATCTAATAAAATATTGATTCCATGCCACTGTAACTTGAGTGTAACTACTTAATTCCACTTTATTTGAATACCAAACAATGTGTGCATTTATTTTTTTAGTGTAAAATATTTAAAAGTAAGTCAAATCAAAGGTATTTAAATAATTTAATATAACTAATATATTGTATAGTTTACTACATTTTTAAAATATTTTACACCGAAAAAATAAGTGTACCTACGTATTTTGTATTCAAATATTATAGTGGAATTAAGTTGTTAAAATGAGATGAAAATATGAAATCAATATGTTATTAGATTATGAGTAGGTAAGTACTGTACTAAGGGACTTGTAGTCTGTGATTATAATTTATAAACGCTATAAACTTCTATACAGATTTCTGGATGAAATGTTTATATTTTATAGGTAGTTTATGATGTCTAGAGTGGCTATAGACCCTATGCCCCCCCCCCCCAAATTCCGTGCCTGGTTACATTTTATTTAATACTATACGTTCAAAGACAACTGAAAATGTAGAAAGTGCTGTAACCCCCCTCACTCATAGGTCCCCTTACAGCTATATAACTCTACTTGATACCGGAACTGGATCGTGGGCACAACTAGATTGTTATTTGACATACAGATATTTAAATCACATTTCAATGATGTCAATGATCATTTAATGAGACCTTAAACGGACTAAATTAAGATTTCTGAAGGACACCCCGTTAAGTGTATATACTTATACTTATAAGAAAAGTTTATTATTTATTGTAATATTTCTAAGATCCCAGAAATTAAAAAAGGTTTAAATTTGGTATGCACTATGCATAATATGTGTATATGTTTTGATAATATAATATGCATTCCTCTACATATTTTTCTTAATAGGTACTATTATTAAAATCATATGATTTCTGTTCGAATGAAAATATTGTTTATTTATAATTCATATTTATATTCTCTATACATTATTAATGAGAGCAAGTTAAAGTGTACGCAACATTACACAAGCTTCCGTTAAATCATGTACGGACAATTTAGTTTTAGCGGTCAACACGCTGTATTTGACAGTAAAGTAATGTAAAACCACCATTGTTACGTCATACTTGTAAAAACCATAGAGTAACAAATATGTTAACAAATATAGATCGTAAACAAAATAATAAGCAATGTCGAATGTACATGCATTCAGGCCCTGATTTAATAAAATTTGGGCCAAGTGCATAATTTGTTTGGGGCCCCCTACCCCCTACCCCCACCGCCACCACCACAAGTCAAAAAAATGTTCTAGAAAAAATCTATACAGAGAGTAGGAGGAAATATTGATAATAAAACAAAATATTTATATGTTAAGTATTAAATAAATATATCTCAAAATTCATAAAATATTTGTACATTATTTCATATACTATAAATACAATTTAGTTACTTGGTCTGGTAAATTAAGGACATTGAAAAGATAATACTAATTAAATAACATAATTAATTACCTATCAATCTTCCATAAAATTATAAAAATGGTAAATAACTTGTTAATTTAACAATTTATTTTATACAATTAAAATGAAATGAAAAATAAATCATTTCTATATTTTCTATATTTATATTTTTTTTTAGCTATAACATTTTATCACAAAAAAGTTTAAAAAGATTTCTTTCTTGCTTTTTTCTCTGCAAAAGTTTCGATAACTGATTCAAATTTTTTTTTTTATATATTAGTTTATTTATAACATTTGTTTTGCGATATTCATTTCCGTGGATAACTGAATAACCTAAACCAATAGTTCTAAAAATGGTAATTGTGGGAGCGAAATGCGTCACCAACGACCGGTTAATCAGTAAATACTGGGCTGGAAGAAATCTATAAATAGTTATTATGTATCAAATATTTCCGATGTTCGAACAAATTTCTATTATTATTATTTTAATATGACGTATTGAGGTGAAGAATAACTTATACTAGTATAATAAGGTCTATGGGAATTATAATTTATTAAAAATAATTAATTTAAAAAAAAATTTTAATACAGTAAATTTTCTACAATTCACGGAGATCGGGGGCCCCCAAAAATTGGGGGCCAAGTGCAAGTGCTCCATCTGCACTTGCGTAAATCAGGGCCTGCATGCATTTATAACCATATCTAATATATAACACTATGTTTTTCTAAAAATATATGCATCGACCCACGATAAAATGTGAATACCTAATTTGTTTTATTCGGATTCTACAATCATTTATAAGTTGTAAATCACCAGGGGTGGCAGACGATGTTTTACAATAAATCTAAAAACTTATAATAACAACTTTTGAGTTTTTTTTTAAACGATGTATAATATAATATGTGTTTATCAGGTTTGATCGAAATTGGTTATTTTCGTAAGTTGTAGTTATTGTAGTTATAAACAAAATTATTCGGTTATATTAATACAATTTGCTAATAATTTTACAAGTCTGATTTTAATCGACAACTTATATTTTTACTTTTTTTAAACTTTTTTTATTTGTTTATTTAACTTGTAAGTATCTTGAAAGTTCTACAACATATTAAATGATTATTTTTCAGGGGTTGTATTTTAAAAGACACAATATTACATCCATTTAAAGTATGTACCTTTACTTATAGACAGGACTTGAAACTGATAATATTTATTTCAATTTCGTTTTCGGTTTCGATATCAATTTTGGTTTTTAACTGGTTTAGCCGGTATTGAAAATCGGTATTGAATATCGGTTTCAAGCTCAGTTATAGATTTTGAGAGTACCTACCTAGGTGGTTAGGAATGTATTCGTTTTAAAATGCAGTTTTTTTTTTTTGTTAACGTGTGTTCAGTTAAATAGTGATACTTCCACTTTAGGTACCTACTCTGTTATAACTTATATATAAGTTTTAAAATTCTAACTATATTCTATAAAATAATATAAAACTAGAAGATATGGCTGGTTTATGGTTATAGTGCTAAATATAAAATACAAAATATATATAATATTTAATCAAGTAAAATTTGACATATCATAAAATGCTAATATATATTAATATTGATTACTATAAATCTGAAATAATCATAGCCTAAAATATACCTTCTAAATTTGTTAAAAATTACTTTTATCCTCGCTCCTTGGTACATTAAGGTTTATGAAACTACTTGTTCTAATTAATATTTGTTTACAAAAACACGGTTGTACTCGATTAAAAAATAATAAGTTTGTATTGCCACTGTACACTTGTTATTATGCATATACCTACTAACAAATTTCAAGGTTGAAATAAATATTTTTAGTTAAACGATACAATATATTAGTTGTTATTATATTATAATATAATTTTGTTTTTCATCCTCTAATATTCCTCTTATTTCAAGGTAACTTCTTAAACAGTGATCATCATCTGCTGCGGAGTACCACTGCATAAATAATAATAATGTTTTACTCCGTGATATATTATATTATTATTACCGTTTCCGCGCCACCCATAGACCTATTAACTACTATTATATAGGTTAGATTAGAGAGCCTATAGCTCTATGTGTAGGCTCTCTATGGTATAATATATTGGCCAATAATAGAGAGTCTTCATTATCTAGGCTCTCTAGCCAATTATAATATAAGTAGATGTTTTTCAACGAATAAAAATATTATCCAGGACACGTCGTATTCGATTACTTTTTTAATTATTCGAAATAGTACCTATTCGAATATTTGTATTCATTGCAGCGCATTACAACTTACAACTAGACTGCAGCTCACCTGTTTCCTGTGTATCTCTTCCTTGTGGCTGTTCCGGAATGGCGGCACGTTGTTGCACATTATGAACAGCACGACGCCGATCGCCCACACGTCCGCGGCCACCGGGTTGTAAGGTCGCTTGCCGTACAGGAGCTCCGGCGCCGAGTAGGTCATCACACGAGTAATGCACTAGTGCCGCACACCGTGTTCGCCCCAGGATTTCGTCCTCGGTCCACGAACCTGGCGAACCCGAAATCGGCTATCCGCAAGTTGTATCTACTGGTCAACAGTATATTCTCGCACTTCAGGTCCCTGTGCACCACCCCTACGCCGTGCATGTACGAGAACGCCCACAGGATCTGCAACAACCACGAGTGGATTTGTGGCTCCGTCAGCTTCATCTTCCGGAGGTACGTGAACATGTCGCCGTTCTCCGCGTACTCCATATTTATGTAGATCTTGTAACTGTTCTGGAACACGCTGTACACCTGCACTGGTGGACATGTTATATAATATTATACTATTTATACTTTCGAAGTTTGGTAATCCCATTAACATTGTCAACTATATTAAGTAGGTACTAAAAAGTGGGTTGTTCGCTGGTCTAATCATAAATGCGATTTTTTTCTCACTAATATATGTTTGAAATATGATTTTCGAAAGTTATTACTACATAAGAGAGCAAGTTTAAATTATTTTGATTTATCCAAATTAAAATATATCTATTATATAATATTATAATATTATATTTACTTGTTACTGAGAATATCTGAAATACCTATATAGGTATAGTTAATATATTTAAATAGTTCAAACGTAGGTATGACTGATTTATTTTCATTGGGTAGTCAAATAACTATTGAAGTCTAAAGTGTTGAAAATTAAAATGATGGGTATGCGATGATACCACACTTTATCAGTGCCGTAACTAGGGAAAGGGACTGTGCTGAGCCCCCTGACTAATATTTAGCCCCCCAACAATATCCCTTCTTGATTTAGATATAAGTCCCCTATGGGTTATTTTAAGTTAATAATTTTGTTAGGTGGGCTGTACCCCCTACCCAGAATTTTAACCCTAGTTGAGCCTATGCACTAGGCTGTACAGTAATAAGTGTATAATATTTCCAACTCATAACATGGCAACAATAAAATGTGAAAGTTTAGCAAAAACGTGGGACTTTTATTTGACTAAAATTATTTCATTAATACTTCTAAGGTCTATAGCTAATAATAAAACAATGATAGATCAACTAAAAAAAGTTTATTTAAAATATTTAATGAGTGACCTATGAGATATTATGATCTGCACCTCATATCATATTATATTGAAATATTAATATAATATATAATATTAATTTTTTAACATAATATTTCGCATGACGCATATTATAGACTGCAATCATACAAATATTCCTAAATCTATTTTGGCTTTTAAAATAACATGAAGATTGAAGGTAGTGACTATGCAGTATATTATAGATTATACATTTTAATATTATTATATTTACCTCAAATTATATGAAAAATATGAAATGTATTACGTTCATATTTTAAATTAAAATTATTTTATTTTTAGTAAAATAAATTATGTTTTCTTGTCTTAAGGGCGCAGTGACCGAATTCAACGAAAACAAATATTATGTTCTATGTAACCTCGGTGTAGTCTAAAAAATATTCGGACGTGACAAAAAATAAGATGACTATATTTTTTCATTCTATAAAATAGTGCTTTTTAAATCGATAGCACTAAAATTGTGTTTTTGATAAAATGTTTACTGTAAGCTATATATAGGATTTCGTAAAGTGTTACTACGAGCTTAACTTAACACTAAAAATGTTTACTTTGAAGTGTTGTTCGCCATTGCTTATTGACTATTGTGCAGCAGGTCTATTTCTAACTAGAGCACTTCATGTTTGTAAATTACTTTATTCCAATAATGTGTCCCATTTGAGAATGATAAAGTTATTTGGTGGAATTTAATAACAACTATCTATCTTTTCGGCGAACACTAGCGTGGGTTGGCTACCCGAAAAGGCTAAATAAAGTTCATGATTCACCATACAAACTACCTACATACACAATGATTCAAAATTATCTCAACCAAACGAATGGATATTTTAAATATTACCACCGAGTACAGTGGGATGCATTTTCAACACATACATAAAACAAAATGTTAATGATTAAAAATAAGTATGTAACACTCTCATTTCGGGTACTATAAATAAGGTAAAAAAAAAGGAAAAGAAGAGCTTATGATTTAGAAAATGATAATATTTTGGTGTGGATCCATTTTGGAAATATTAAATGTATGTTAAATAATATCTATATATATATATATATAACATAAATACATTTAAAATCCATATAAATAATATTGTTATATCGAGTTGCTTGAAAAATGTATTAATTATTTAATGGTTCAATATAATTGAATATAATATTATAATATATGGGCCAATAAGTCATGTTTAAGTGACACTCACTAATGATTCGTTAAATGCCTAGTAATTGTTCATGAAACCTATCGCAGAATTGATATTCTTATTAAATCTTATCTATAATTATCTATTATGATGTACAAATATTTATATAATAGTATTTTTCTGTAAAAATGTAGCTCCCTCCCGTTTCAGATTTCTATATCCGCGATTGGTGTTGCAGTACTAATATCATTAGCTAACCTACCTTTATTATTGTTATTATCAGGACTTGGCACCCGAACGATTTATTTGGGTTTTGGGTTTTGGGTGCGCATGTATTCGGTTGTTCAAACACCAGAATAAAAGATTTAAACAGACGTTTCGGTGTTTAAAACGTTAATATTCGGGTTAATAACTTAATATTGGTTAATACGGGCGTTTAGTAGCTGAGTAAAACATAATTATTTATAGTTATTTTTATAAGACATTTTTTTTAAAATTTTTAATTGCTTAACAAAATGTCATAATATTTTTATTATTAAACAAATAATTAACTACAAATTCGAACTAACCAAATAAAATATGTACAAAATGAGATATCACATCAAAATTATAAAATAAAAAATGATTCGGGTTTCGGGTTAACCAGAATGTTTTATTCGGATTTTGGATAATTCATATGTTTTGAAAATAGAATCTTTCGGGTTATATGGATTTCGGGTGTTTGATTTTTAAGGGTGTTACGGGCCCTGGTTATTTCGGGTGCAAGGCCCTGGTTATCATTCTAAATCAATGTACATCAATACACCGTAACGTAAAATATCCACCTATTTCATAATATTAAACTTGCCTGCACTATATACGGATGTCTGAGTTTGATCATAACGTCTAGTTCACGGGGTAAGAACTTTTCCACAAACTTAGCGGAAATCGTTCTCGGCGTCTCCGAATTTGGCCAGGTAAACCTTGGAAAAATACCCCTCGCCGATCTTTTTCCATATGTGGAGGCTCCGGTGTGCCAAAAACGACGAGTCAGATGTGGCTAACATCCAACGGGTCCGGTTAAAATATTTATTGAGTTTTGACGAAAGTCCGCGCTGTATTTAGGTATAGCCGTATAGGATAGTATGATATCGACGAAAATGGGTTGTAGTTTTTTTTTATATATTTTATTAAAATGGGTTGTAATATTATGAAATGATAAAGAAACTGCAGATGTTATGTATGTGCCTTGATTACAAACTAGTTTTTTTACAATCATTTGTTAACCCATAGCATGTTTTTATTATATTATAATATTGTAATACTTTTAAATACAACACGTGTCATATTATGTATTTATGTGTGTACCTACTATGCTATGACAGTATGACGTGTGTTATACTACTATGTACTTACGTACATTAATGCCGAATGCATAAAATATTTATCAAATTTATCTGTTATAAATTTATAATATATTTATATTATAATATTGCATTATATTTACAAATTTGTCAAGTGCAGCTATCAGCACAACTGCAATTCATAGCTGATTCAATATGAGCCAATGAAAATCGTCTTAATGTTTGAATTAATTTAACTGATAGTTAGAACTAAAGAGTAATGGTAACATTGTAATAATGATTAATTCTAAAATGTTGCAAGACATTGTAATAACTGCCCTAAATAAACAACTGTTTTTTCCTTTTTTAATAATGGCTTCATTTTTATTGTTAGACGTTCAAATATTGATGTGGTTAAGAGCAAGAATATAATATTAATTTTATTGAATACTTATTTTTTTATCAATAATATATATATTACATAAAATGCTTTCAGCATAATATTTTCAGTAAAATGCATACAGACAAATAGGCATGTAATGCCAATACATTTTTATGCCTCCGGAACGTTCCCTCTCCGCCTATCGCTATCTCACTCCTGCCCGGTATCGTTCTATTTATATTTACGAGGTCTCGGGGAATTGATTTCGGTGTACGAATGTACGATATTATTAGTTATTACTAGAGATCAGGGTTACCTTATGTAAAGTAAAGTACTCAACGTATATATATATATATATAATATATATGTATTAGGTATTATTATTTGACTACAACATTATTACAAATCTTATAATAATATATTCAGCATCAATTAATTTTATGATTACTTATAAAATTATAAATGGGGGTTACCGATCAGGCAGTGGTGGTCGTGGGTTGCCGATATCCACTGCAGTGGGTTTACCTGGTCATCCGCTGAGTCCTCTTTAGGTTCGCATCACCCATCGACTCAGGCTATTGACCATCAACTCTCTACCATCGACCGCCTGGAATGAATACCGCAGGCCACGTGAGACATAATCTGGAACTATATTATTATGATAAATGCATATTTTGTTAAGTAAAGATATTAGAATTATGTATTTGTTGTTAAACAAACGGAAATTATTACTGAGTAATACGTAATATGAACTATACGTAATGAATTAAACTGGATTTTAAAAGTACCTAAAGTAATAACAACTTAATAACTAAGTATAATACGTATATGCAGGTACACAATTCATAATGTACAGTAATAATATATTTTAATAAAAACCTAATTTAATCGTACTGAGTGTTAACATTTAGTGAAACAATAGAAATATTACTCTTGAATCCTAATAACATATCTGTACTGTTTACACTGTAATAATACATGTTTATTGTTTAAAAGCAAAAATTAAATTAGATATCCACCTTATAAATAAATCGGTGAATGTACGACTAAAAATATTTCCAAAGTATTAATTTAAAAAAATAGGGTTAAGTATAAAAATCATAAATCGAAGTTCAAGCAAGTAATTTTTGAGTTATTAAACTCTGAGTACAAAATAATGATAATAAGCCTGAAGATATGGGGGCAATGATAATTTTGAAATTATTGTAAAGACTAATCATTAAAAAGGTGGGTAAGTGGATGTCGCTCTACAGTCTACTGTACAGTAGGTTACAAGTGGGTCACTGTATAATGGATGCTATTAAATTTGAATTCA